AATAGAGATTCCTCATAAAACTAGGAATGGAACCACCATGTGATCCAGCTATCCCACCCCACAGTGTATACTCCAAAGATCTAAAATCAGCATATGATAAGGATCCAACATAATTCACAATAGCTAAGCTATGGAACCAAACCAGGTGGCCTTCAACAGATGAATGGTTAAGGAAAATGTGATATATATCCACAACAGAATATTACAGCATTTGCTGGTAAATGGATGAACAGAGACTATCATGCTAAGTGAAAAGCCATACCCCAAAAGTGAAAGGTTAAGTTTTTTTTTTTCCTGATAAATGGAAGCTACTCAAATATAAGGAAAAAGAAAGGGGTAGGATTCCATAAAAAATAGAAGATTAGTAGAATAGAGGGAGGGAGTGTTGGTCAGGAAAATGGAATAACAATGGACTAAATCTGTCCTATGTATGTGTATGAATATACTACGAATATACTACAGTGAATCTCATCATTATGTATATGCACAAGACACTAATTTAAAAAACTATAAATTAATAGAAAGATCAGTAGAACAGAGGAAAGGAAACGGTGATGGAGAAGGGAAAGGGAAGGGAACTGGGGGCTGAATTACAGGAAACTATATTCCATGCTTTTATCAAAATAAATCCTAATGTTATATAAAACTAAAAAGAACCAATAATTTTTTTTAAAGAACTACTGCTCTGTTAAGATTTAGAAGCATCCTATAAGTTTGAAAACTTACCTGGTCTCTCCACAACAAAAGAAGAATTTTAATGTCCACCATACAGAGAACATTTTTGGCTAAAGGAATACTACAGCTGCCCAATTTGAAAACATCTACTACAAGAAGCAGAGGCAGATGGTGGCTAAGTAAAATCCTTCAGAGATCATCTCCCTACAAACACACCAAACTACCTTCACAAGAGCTAAGGAAGACAAGTGAGACACCACACTGACTAGTTTTAGTATAATAATAAAAGACACAAGGGTAGGAGGAAAAAGTTGCCCAAGTCACAATTCTCCCAACTAACTTCAGCAATGCAGAGAGAGATGTTTTCTGCCTGGGGGAAGGAGAGGTAATTAAATCCAGGCCTTAGACTTAAAACCCAGTACCAGCCCTGTCATGGTGAACCCACTGTGAGGTTGAACCCCACAACCCCTGCTCCAGGCCTGCAATACCCACACTGAGCTACTAGAACTGCATTATCCAATAGGCCTAAGAACTGCTGTCATCACCCCTCCCCCAACCTTAGGCTTCAGGGGAAGGAGGCAAAACATTTCTTCAAGATAAAAATGCTAAGCAAATTAGGTATATCAGGGATACAAACAATACAATAAAGACCATTTATAACAAACCAATAACTAATATTATATTAAATGGGAAAAAGCTAGAAACTTTATCTCCAAGATCTGGAATAAGACAAGTATAACCACTTTCACTATTTTATGCAAAAACTATTAAAAGTCCTAGCCAGAACAATTAGGCAAGAGAAAGAAATAAAGTGCAAAAAAAGAAAAGGAAAGGAAAAAACAAGCTGCATCCAAATTGGAAAAGTAAAAGTCAAACTCAGTTTTTTTCAGATGACATGATCTTATTATATAGAAAACTCCACCAAAAAACCATCAAAAAAACTAACAGAAATAAAAAATTCAACAACAATCACAGGATATAAAATAAATATACAAAAATCAGTAGCTTTTTTATGTACCAGTAATGAATTATCTGAAATAAAAAGTAATGTCACTTAAAATAGCAACAAAAAATAAAATTCCTAGAAATATATTTCATCAAAGACGTGAAGAAGAAAAAGAAGAAAAGTAACCAATCCGCCAAGTCTTATCGAGGAGGGGAAAAAAAAAAATCGGGAGGCATTATACTTCCTACCTTCAAATATACTACAAAACAGTAATTGAAACAGCATGATAGAATGGGATTATATCCAATTAAAAAGCTGCTTTGAACAGGAACAATAATATAATAAAGAGATAAGCTGGGATAAGCTGTATTATCATTATTATTATTATTCCCCAAGTTTTTTAATAACTATTATTTCCACAGGAAAGATATGAAAAGAAGGTATGGGTGGGTTCCATGCCTTTCCCTAACTAGCTACCAATGCTCTCTCTAATCTTTGCTCACCACCCTGAGATCTATGAGAAATGCCTGCAAGTAAACTGCAAATTCCTTTGCTAATCCACACTAGGTAGGTGAAGTTGGAGTTCATTGTTGCTATGGACCCTATGGATTTTAAATTGCTCTAATCATACTGGTCTTCAGCTTGATTTGAGGTTTTTCCTTTTGTGCTGCTCCCTAGAAACTGTGCCTTGTAGGTATAGTTTTCACAAGTGGTCCTACCCCTTCTTCTTCTAGAGATTCATCTGTTTTCTAATCTATTTTTTTTGTTTTTTATTTTTTTTCACTGCTTGTAAAAAAGCAGTAAAAAGCTGAGAGGAGGAGTAAGGAGAGATTACCAAGGAGTACCTGAAACTTCTAGGATGATGGACAAGGCCATGGTCTTGATTGTGGTGATACGGGTGGGTACATGGGCCAAAATATATCAAATTATACACTTTACACATGACTAGTTATGGGATGTCAGTTACACCTCAGTACAGCTATTTTAACATAAATGAATTGGAAAGTAAGAAATACAACTGCTTTTATTCATGGACATCATCATCATATACATAGGAAAATTCAAAAGAATCTATTAAAAAAAGCTTGAAAGCACGATCGTGACACAGGTGTAAAGTCAACACTCAAAATCAACTACAGTACCAAAAAAATTTAAAATTTCAAATAATACCATTATAATAGTTTTTTAAAAGAAGTACGTAGGTATAACTATATACTAGAAAATAGCACTGCTGAATCAAGTTAAAAATAATTATCAAAATAAAGACCTACATACCACAAACATGGATTATAAAATTTAATATTGTTAGGATGTCAGTTCTTTCTAATTATATTTATAAATCCAATGTAATCTCAATCAAAATTCTAGCAAAAATATTTTTAAAAGTAACAAGCTAACATTTATATTAAAATGCAATTTTGAGAAGAAAAAGCAAAACTAGAAAACCTTTTTCTTTCAAAATTTATAATAAAACATGGTATTGGTATAAATAGAGAGATTTACTGAACAACAGAGTCCAGAAATGGGTCAAAAATAATATGGTCCATTTTCAATAGATATGCTAAGACAATCCAACAGAGAAAAGAATTATCACAATGGAGCACAAAGAAACTTTTTTGTGTTACAAAGATGTTTTATAACTAGACTATCATGATGGTTTTGACAAATCTAGTTTCATAGATTTGTCAAAACTCAAAGAACTACACACTCAAAATGAGTGTGTTTTATTGCATTACTGTAAATTATACCTCAACAAAGCTAATTAAATCAAAAGAAGTCAGAATGCAAGAAGACATGCTCAGCACATCTCACTAAAGATAACTACACAAAAATATTAATAATGCCAAAGGTCAATAAGAAAACCACCACCAAATAGGTGACAAAGATTTATACAGGTGACTGATAGACAAAAAATCCAAATGTCTATTATACATGGCAATATATTTAACCTCACAAATAATAATAGAAGTACAAATTAAAACAAAAACATATCCCAGCTAAAAGAAGAGATCCGATTATTTGAAATCTAAAGGATATGAGAAAAACTGATTTCTACACAGCAGTGTGAATTGCTATATTTTCTTGAGAGATCTGTTTAACAATATTTGGTGAAGATGACAAAGCACATATACCACAACATAGCAATTACACTTCTATGTGTGTATTCTAGAGAAAATTTTGCACACATACAGGAATAAACACATACAAGAATATATATTTTAAAATAGAAAGATTGGAAATAATTTAACATGTACAAATAGGGAAATGTATAAATAAAATTTAGAATTCATAAAAATGGTTAAAATTAAAGGAATAAATATATATACACAATTTAAAAATATAATGCTGAGGGGAAAGACACAGTGAGTATAAGGGCATTTATGAAGACCTAAAAATATATTTTAAAAATCCTTAAAATAAGAGATTGGATGATTATGCACATGAAATTAATGACAAAGGAGCAAACTGGACTGTGAACAAAACAAAGGTGACTTCAATGATATTTATTAATGCTTATTTTAAAATTCTGAAGCAAAAGATGACATTTATATATTCTAAATGGTTGATTATACATTTCTGATATTATTCTTTTTAGTTTCTATAATTTTAAACATTACAAAATCAAAATAATAATTTTTAAACCTACAAAACATGAAGGACCAAATGTACTAACTTTGAATTCATATTCTGGATTTTGAGATAACTTTAATCCAAAAAGCAAGGTTTACCTCTCGATAAATAAATTTAGCATTTATCTTGAGTACAAAAATTGAGTTTACAAATTTTCTGTTGTTTCTCAAATTTCTAGAGTCGGCAGACTCCCATGAAAAATAATTTAAAGTTGTAAAAATTGTAAAGTAAACAATGGAAAAGAGTATTAATATTACCTTCCTTTTTTCTTTCCCCAGCCCTGGGGATGGAACCTAGAACCTCCCACATGCAAGGCAAGTGTTCTTCCACTGAGCTGCACCCAAAGCTCCTTAAATCTTACTTCAGTAATGTAAATCCAAAGTCACTGCTCTGATCACCATTTTCACTGCCCCTCCATGTGGTCCTCACAGCCACCCACTCAGTCTCCAGAGCCAACTAACCCATGCAGAACACTTTTTGGCTCTCCTGACTCTTTCCCATTTGGCTTGTCTATTATCCTGGTCCTAATTTCATACTAATGTTCATTTTTTAAGTTCATGTGGGCATGGTTTTTGTGGTCTTTAAATATTAAGGGAAAAACTTTTGGTACTATGCTCAACTACAAGAATATTTATAATCAATAAACCTGAAACCCACCACCCGCTTTTCTTGTAGTATCATTATATTTTATGCCTTTATTTTTAAAAATTCACTCTACAACTATTATTTGTCTCAAAATATTACTCACCTCTGGATAAAGATGGAAGCGTTTCACTGTATTAATTACAAGGGGATACTCAGTAAGCCTATCATTCATAATCATCCACAGTCCTTCCAAAAATGAAGGTGCTTCAATAATGGTCTTGAAGTAGGAATAATAAAGTCCCTTTATTAAAAAAAAAGCCACAGAGGTCAAATATAAATAAAACTTTAAAATATTTTTACATCTCCTTTTAGAACTTTTTTCTGAAAAAAAGGTCAATAATAAGACTTTTTAATTACTCCTTGATATTACATTAGTAGACTTAAAAAGCAAGTTTTTTCAGATATCGCTTTACTATTCTATCAGCTTTTCTGTGTGCTTAAAATTTTTCAAAATGAAGAATTCTTTGGGATGGTCAAATGTTTGAAGAGGCTTTTCTAACAGGGCCTTAACATATGTATACAATATACTTTAAATTTTACCAAATCTGGTTGTGCCCACAGTCCTTGGAAGTTGGCATATAATGAATTTTATCATAAATGGGGATGCCTCTGTGACCCTGTGCAAATTTTGCATGTGAAAAATTTCCTTTCTTCCTATGCTTTTAAGAAATATCACATAATGATCATAAACACAGCTTGAGAATGGAACTTCATGCTTCCAGCTTATTTCATAACTCTATCATCTCTGCACAAAGTGAAAGCTAAACGTCATTGACTTTTGCTCACAAATGCTGTATATTGAAAAAAGAATTATTTTAACATATCGTTTCAGCATGTGAAATAATGGCTTCATTAGGATAGTAAAAGTGCCTTTGATTTAAAATTCAAGCATTTTTTTAAAAGCGCGATTTTTCATATCACTTTGTCAACTTGCTATTTTCAAATAAGATAGAAAATAAAGGGCTCCATCATTTATAAAAGGAAATAAAGGTCTACATTGTTTGTAATAATACACTCTGGCCCCAAAATAATAAAAATAATTTCAACTTTAGACTCATTCTTCCTTCATCCAACTATTTTATTTTTTTACACACAAAATATCTTTTATTCCAAATTATACAAAACCAAAACCCCAAACAAGTATTACTTATAAGATCCACTGATATTTAAATAATATTACATAAATTTAAAAAATCTGATTTCACTCAAATTTGCCAGTAAATCATTAGGTTTTTTTTTGCTAACTATATTCACCAAGTTGTAAGAACAAACAAAACATCCACATTAACACTTGACAGGTTTGGACGTGTGATAATACCTGGATATTAGGCAGCATCCAATAAAAACATCAATATAGTTTTCATTCATCAAAGGAAATATTATTCAAGTTTCCCAAATAAGCTTAAGTTATTTGGGGTTTGAATTTTTTCAAACGGCCAAGTTAAAATATAAGAACAAATAGTTTTCATTTAGTGGGAGCTAAAATCAATGTGTGTACTTCCAATCAAATATCTGTCCCACGGAACATGATTCATTTTTAAGAGTCAAGCCAAACCTTTGCTGCCTTCGCTGATCCAATGCTTCAGTTGCTTTGCTCAAAACCCGGCAACACCCTCCTCACCCCACCCTCACACACACCAGGCCTTTGTATGCCCCTGTGGTGCTGGGGATCAAACCCAGGGTCCTGCACATGGTAGGCAAGCACTGTACCACTGAGCTACACCCTCAGCCCTTTTCCCCTTTCTTTTCTCTCACTATGCCTTCAGCCTTTCTCTCTGTTCTGGTTGATCCATACTGGGACTGTCCATGGTGGTCTAGAAGGATCTTTTTGTCTCTCCATTTATCAGTCTCCATTTTCATTTCATCTTTTTCATCTTTTACCAATATATTGAATTATTCTTGGCCCTGTTTGGGTAACAACAGTTGCTATCTCTTGAACATCTTTCATTAAAACATTACTGTATACTTTGAGAAATATTTTAAGTCTGTTATGCTCCTTTGGAGTACTTTTTTTTTCCAGCAGTCATCTTCCCTTTCTACTTACTCTGAAGCTTTTAGCCATTTAGATCCAACTCACTGGAATTCAACTACCTAATTTTTGATAGGCCAAACAACACTAATGGCTCCTCAATTGAAGATCTGTTTTAGCTCATCTCTGATTGGCCATTTTCTCATAGTTTTGATTGTCAAAATATCAGGTCATGGAAGTATTTTCCTTTCAGTGCAGAAAGACAAGCAACACAACAATTAAAAGATATTTAATATGCAAAAGACTGTATTTAGGAAAGCAATGTATATATTTAAATAAGTTATTGATAACAAGATATTATTTTGTTATACATGCTTCTGTTCATTTCCTCCCTTTGTTTTCACTAAAACCCTATGAGGAAACTATTATTTCTACTTAATAGATGAGATGAGAAAGATAACTGATTAGCCATCAAACAATGAAGCACATTACTGCTGAGTCCTGTGATCTGTCACCAAAGCCCACACTCTGTCACAGCTACCCTCTTTATTTAATAATAGTTTATATCCTGTCACAGAAATATAACTTTTAAAATATTCATATTTTAAAATATGCTATGCAAATATTTATGAGTCAAATTCTTCAAAACTTTACAGGTGTTAGAAAGATGAAAATAAACAAGAAGTGGCTAAAGGACCTAATATTCTGGAAATTTATAAAACAGAAATTAGACACAAAATTCATTTCCATTCCTAATAAATTTCTACTTTACATTCTTTCTATTTTTAAATCACAAATGAATTCATTAGAAGAAAGAGGCTAACCATTTCAGTGCGAAAAGTCATCTCTCGTTCCAAAGATGAGAGGTGAGAAAAATGACGGTCATTTTCAAAAAGTGATATTAAATGTATCCTAGGGAAAAAATGAAATATAATAAGAACAGGTGTCAAACCAATGCTAAAACATTTTAGGTTATAGCTAAAGTAAGAAAGCCATATAAAAATTAATTTTTATAATAAATATTAAGATAATAGTAGAATTGTTTACTAACTTACATGTTTGGGGCATTTATAATCCAGTGTAGCACATATGTGAAATTTATTAACTTGGTTCTTAAACTTATTTCTATGTATATCCAAAATTCCTCCAATTCTCTCCTCCCTTCCTTCCACCCTAGGCTTCTAAATGAGAACACTGGCAAGTTTCGTTTTGTTTTGTTTTTTAAGTTTAAGAAGTGATTCAAATGTACCAGGTTGGGGAAATACCTTTATTAACTGTAGAAAAGTATTCAGAATATAATTTTAAGTAAAATTAGATGAAATTGATTTTTAAAGAAGTATAATATCATACAATGGATCAACTTTAAAGTGCCAAAGAACACAGAACTATACTTAAAAGATATTTTAATAGTGCAAATCAATAGCTGTAGGCAATGACAAAATATGTGATAAATAAATTAGTTGCAGTTAACATTTATGCGATCCTTAATTATGTGGTGCTTTCCAATGAAGTTGAAAATAAAGCAAAATTCCATCCATCAACTTGGTTTTCCACTCCCCCTTATTTACACGTGGGTCATATGTCAGGAGACTAATATCAGTAAGAATCCTTCCTACCATTATAGCTAACATCAAAAGCTTCCTGTAGACACAATGGCCAGAGCAGCACTATTCCAACAGAACACAGCATCCATACTTCCCAAAAGTAGAAATCTGAGCTCAGTTGAGACAAAAATATTCCAGATGGAAAATATTATTATTTTACAGATGATTTTTACAAATAGATCACTTTTGTAAAATAAAATGCCCATGTACAGTAAAAGGCTCAAAGTCATTTATTTCTGCCTTTACTACTACTAGAGTCTTTCTCTTCAATTCTACCTGCTCACCAGTTGACAAGTATTAATAAAATTTTATCTCTAAACTCATGTCACTTAACAACACATTGATACTCTAAAGTAAGGAAGTATTTTAGTTTAAGCTACAAAATACCTAGGAAACTTAAATATTTAAGGAAATACAGTGGGGAATTCCTTGGTAAAGCCAGAATATTTAAATTTGTAAGTAACTATTCTCATAATGAATCTATTTTATAAATTCTGCTTCACATATGAGATTTATTAAAAATAACATTTATAAATTGGTACACATATAGCTATTCCATATACATGGCTAGAAGTTATGTTTTACTATATGAAAATATTGATGGCAAGTTATAAACCAAATTTTTTTATTTATTCCAAAAGAAAACTAAATCTTACCAGTGCAAAATTCCCACAATAGCAGCTGGAAAAAGAAAAAAAAAAGGAAATTAAAAGATGCTTTACCTGAAATACCTTTAAAACAAGTATTTCAAATGCATTTGCTTACATGTCCAGAGAGATAGAAAATAAAGATAGATGGCCAGCTACTTCTGGTTCATGTGAACATAGGACACAAAACAAATTGCAAATCACACTTACCTTTTGCAAAGGGACCTTGACAACTGAGCAAAGGGGGAGACTTGAAAGGTTTATATATGCCTCTTAGATAATTTGTAAAGGAGTGATGAAATATGTGCTTTTGAAACTTTTTGGGTTTTTTTCCATATTATTTTCTATTGTCTCTTATTTTCTATTGTGTAAATTTTAAAAAGGAAGTAAATAAGTACACTAGGCTCAGATTTTTTTTAGAAAAGACTTAAGCCAGGGGCTGGGGATGTGGCTCAAGCGGTAGCACGCTTGCCTGGCATGCGTGCGGCCCGGGTTCGATCCTCAGCACCACATGCAAACAAAGATGTTGTGTCCACCGAAAACTAAAAAAAGAATAAATATTTAAAAAAAAAAAAAAAAAGACTTAAGCCAACAGGAGCCACTCTAGAACACTGTCCTTTGGGCTCATCAGAAAATGGTTAAATGTAGAAAAATCACTTCTTAAGAGCCCATTTGAAAACCCCATTATGCAATTCAAACCTTGAGGAAGTGTCAGCTCTTTGTGAGTTCCCAGATCTAGGTACCTCTAAATGGCCCATAACATGCACCCTGTGCATGAGGCTTTACTAGAGGGCTATGAGGTCCTATAGTGACTCTTTAGATATGGAGCTTTTTAAAGAGCGACAAACATAGTCTGTGCCCTCTGGTGACCAGAAAGTTGCTTTTTAAAAGAATACCATGGAGCTGGGGAGAAGAAAGGGGTGAGAAGGGATGGGCAGTAGTGGAGGAGGCAGAACAAGAACACCACAAACCCTACTATTCTCACAGGGTTCAGCAGCTTTACTTGAATTAATGCTCTTTAGGTTATTGTAATCCTTTGGCTAATTTCTGAAGTTTTGAAAAAGTTGATTTTGATAATCTTCTAAATATCTTCCTTATTGTCAGGGAGAAGTGAATTTACTATTTCAGAAGTCCTGCCTTCCTTCTAAGACTTTGTAATAATTCTCGTGGTTGCCCCAAATATATTTAGCAAGTCATCTTAAAAACCACAAACATTAACCCCTTTAAAAATTCAAAACTTACTCAAATTGGCTAATAAAATAAAATCCAAGTTATTCAATAAAGGAATTAAAAATTACAATGATGAAATCCCTAATCATGTTTCTCCAGCTCTTTTTTCATATTACTATCCTGGATTCATCTTAAATAATTTCCACAAAATTTACCTGCTTTATATCAGGATGGGTAAACTGCAGCCTATGGTTTGTTTCTGTACTTTCCACAAGCTATAAATGGTCTTTATGTTTTTAAAAGATTGTAAGGAAAAAAAAAAGATGAAGATACTGAGCAGGGTGGCACATGCTTGTAAGCTCTGGAGGCTAAGGCAGGAGGATTGCAAGTTCAGAACCAGTCTCAACAACTTATCAAGGCCCTAAGCAACTAAGCAAGACCCACTCTCAAAATAAAAAAAATTAAAAAGGGCTGGGCATGTGGCTCAGTGGTTTAGTGTCCCTGGGTTCAATCCCTGGTACCAAAAAGAAGATGATGATACAATGGACACTATGTGCCCTGCAAAGTTTGAAATATTTACTCACTGGTTGTTTATACATTTGTTAACATTTCCTATCTAATGTAGTCTGAGTCACCGTTCTCTCTAAATTGGAAAAAGATGCCCCTCTGATAAGGCTTCATGAACTTTAAGAAATACAGTAACTGTACTATTCAACTATATTTGTTCTCTCTTATTCTCCTGAAAATGAAATGCATTGGCAAAATTTTTTAAAATAATATTTTAAGTGGAAAAGATCAAATATTCTACCAAATCCATCGACCTTTTCAAAGATCCTCAAAAGTCTTTGTCTAACTCTCTCCTCCTCACCCTATATTCCACACCTCCCCCCCCCAAAGGACAGACATGGGTATAATATACAGTTTTCCAGGTGCATGAAGTGCTTAGCATTATGCCTTTACATAGTGATTAAAAGTATGTCCCCACACCCTATGTCTAACAGTCTCACCCTGAGGGTGACCCAGTCTTCAACTTGACTGAAACAAACACCAAGGGCCACCAGCACTCCCAACTGCTTTTACCTCCACTTCAACATTTCTCTATACAGTAATCCTTGTTTTTTTTCTATTCTCTACCACCTTAGAAGAGAAAGTCTCTCTCCTTTTTTCCATAGTTTCTCAAGTTTGTGTTTTTAATTTCTCCTCCTTCTCAAACATTCCAAAATGTTGCTCCATCAATTATTTCCTTTCTTGGATCTTTCATTTGTTGAAAACTGAAATTTTATCTTCCTAGAACTGAAAACACTTCCCTTAAGGTAAGAACCCTTCCAAGTGTGGAATATGACTGCCCCTGTATCTCTCCCATTTAATGACAAGACCCTTGGCCACTTTTCTCCTTTGAAGTTCCCAAACTCTTTAAATAACCAATGACCTCTTAGTTATCAAAATCAATGCCCTGTTTCAATTCCTATGCTCTTCAATCTTCCTGTAGCATTTGATCAGTTTCTTGGATTTTTTTCCTCTCATTTCTGTCACACCAAATCTCCACATTCTATTTTCCTAAAAACATTTTATACATATACCTGTTTTTTTTTTTCCTTTTCTTCTCATCCTCTGAAACTAAGTTTAAAAGTTTTCTCCAGGTCTCTTTACTATATCCCCCTTTCTCTCGCCACATTGGTATCTCTTGGCAATCTCAAATTCTCAACGATCATTTCTACACTAATTATTACCACATCCATGATCTTCAAACCTGAACTTTCTCTCTCCCTCCACCTCCCTCAGTTCCTGTTCTAACCACCTATCTTGTCCTGTCAATCTCTGTCTGGCCCTCCCCATTCCTACATGCTAAGACCATTATAGCCATTCTGTTTCCTTTCTATGTCCAGCCCAGTGTCCACCCTGCTGCTGAGTTAACCTCTGTGTAGCACACTCCTCATCAAATCATTCTCCAATTTGAAAGTCATTCAGTGCCAACACAGTGAATGTACTAATATGCCATTGAATTATTCCCTTTCAGGTGGTAATTTCAAATTATCTCCTTAAAAAATGTTTTTGAAGAAAAGAACCAATCAGCGCCTTCTTACTAATAAATAATAAAGGTCAAATGCCCAACCCTCGGCCTTGATTTGGCTCTTCAAGGCCAATCCCAATCAACCTTTTCAATTTACTTCCTACTTTCTATTTTTTACACATCCTTCCTTTCAGCCTAATTTGGCTTTCATGTTGTCTTACTTCTACAACTTTAATCATACAGTTCCATCAGCCTCTAATACTTGTTCTCAGCTCCGTACATCCAAATATTGGCCCTTTGTGACAATTTGAGCCCCAATTTTCCCCAACAGTGTTTCCTGATCTCCTTTCTCACTCCCAGCCCTAAAATATTAACTTGTTCTTCTAAGCTCCCATAACAACTGATATGGTCTGTCATTACTGCACCCAACACTCATCAGGTGCCTCTCAAGGACCAAACTTCAGTGCACTGGAACTTGGATTTGGGAAAATGGTGGGGTTTCCAAACCCATGTTAATTCTGGATGTGGAATATGTCTACTGACATAATTAGAAATGTGATAAAAATCTAAACATGAACTACCATTATTTCTCAAGTATTGTTATCACTCCATGTGTGGAGCTTCCACTAACTTGGTGGAAAAGAAAATACAATGACTCGCATTAAAAGACATTTACCTATGTCTCAATTTATATTGGTATTCAGTCTGATCAAGGATTGGGTTCAAAATAGAGACAACAATAACTTAGGATTAGGCTCAAAATAGAGACAACAATAACATTTAAGTTATATCCCAAACTACAAAAGATGAAGGAAGAAAACTATTTCAAGTACCTAAATAAGACAAAATCCCCAATTTTAAGCACGGAAGCACCACACCAGACCCAAAGTAAATGGGTATCAGCACTGGGTCATCTTTGTCCACTCTGACCCTAATTTTAACTATCAAAGATGTCAACTAATTTGAAAAAACACTTCCTTTATTTTGCTTTATTTAAGATGAAGAGAAGCATAAAATATCTTTACCTCCCACCCAAAGAACTTGCCAATCACTTTTACAAAGTGTGAGAATTGGCTTCCTAGGTTAAATAATATTTTATTGACATAGAAGTGACCACTAAGCCCAAAAATCCTACAAAAGTATTTTAACACAAGAAGTAAGGAGGCTGGGAATTCTTGGCAAGTGCTTCTCCAGCGCTTGGATCTCATCATTATTGCTGCTAGGAACCCACAAACGCTTGTTAAATTCTTCTCCATTAAGACTCAAGAAAACCACTTCAAATCTTTCTCGGCTCCAAGGGAAAAGCCTAGCACCGCGGGACCCTGGCAGGAGCGCCATCAGGCTCCTTCCAAGGGCTCTCCTGCCTGCTCTGCTCACCTATGCTGACGGTGGTCCTGCTAGAGACCTTAAGGGTCTGCAATACGTGCACCTTTTCGCGGACCTGTTCCAGGAAACAGAAGAGAAATTGAAAGCGGCCGAAAAGTAGTGTTTTGGCGAGCTGTTCCAGATGCAAGCAGTTTTGCGAGTTCAAATTTCGGATCTTCCGCGGCGTGTAATCCCGGGAGCCCCCTGGCAGGTTTCTGCCGCTTAGGGACGAGGGCTGCAGAAGCAGCTCCGGCTTTTCCATCTCCTCCTGCAGCTCTTTCTCTAACTCGGGCTCCCCGGCTCCGGCTCCGGTGGCCTTGCGCCGCCGCTTCGACTGCAAGGCGCGAGTAGATTGAGGTGGCTCTGAAGTCGCTTCTTTGAGTTTATTCCTCGTTTGCCCGACCATTTTCTCATAGTCCCTGTTCGGATGGAGCTGGGTCTCTCTAGGCAGCGGGCCCAGCAGACTCAGGCGAGGTCCCGAGGGGCCTGACTGGCCTCGCAGCCTCAACGACTGGTCCTCGCCGCCGTTGCGGGCTTCCCAGTCGTCATGGCAACCGCGAAACCTGGAGGGCGGGGGCGCGAGCCTCGCCGCTTCGCGCCGCCCGCGCGCACAGCCTCCGCGCAGCACCCCCACGCACGCCACCTCCCAAGAGCCGCGCTCCACGCCAGCTGCACGCGCGCGCCACCCGCGCGCACCGCCTCCCGAGCACAACCCTGCGCGCATCCAGCCCCCACGTGCCATCCCACGAGCGACGGGTACTCAGCCCGCGTTGAGTCAGGAGATGTCACCCCACAGCTTGAGGTGAACGTGTGTACCGTGATAACCATGGTGTTCTCCTTACTGTCCTTTATTGGAGTTCCACCAGGAGCGTCAGAATTCCTCTGCCATAGAAGGGTTGTGTTCAAGGCGTGCAGCACTTTCCTAAATCAGTATTTACCCAGGACCGACTAAGAGGTGCGCGCTTGTTGTCACAGTCACCACACCATCCCATAGAGGCCTGAGTGGTTGGTACAGATGGACAGGAGAGGGGGGTGCGGGGTGGCATATTCCATGTCCTCTGGCACAGTCCATAATGCAGCAGTCATACTGCTTCACGTTCCATCTGTTTTGTTTCCTTTTGGGTTTTTTTTTTTTTTTTTTTTTTTGTCGATCAGATTTAACTCCCTAATCCCCAGTTCCCCATCAGAACTATAAATCCCTGTAGCCAGGTTAGTGACCCTGATGCAGCACCGTTTAGAAATGTTCATGGCTCCACATAGCCCATAAAGCGTAAACTCCCTGGTTTAGCTCATCAACCCTTCAGTAATCTGCCCACATCTACCTTTTCAACTTTCCCATTTCCCGGACTCTGATCTTCCATTCCAGTCATTCCAAGTGAGAGGGCCACAGCAGGAGGCTCTGTAACTGGCTTTTTAAAAATCCTTTTCTCCCTGCCCACCTGAATTTTGTCACCTTCGGGCTGCAGTAATTACGCCTTCTCTGAGAGTCTAGAGCTCTTATGGACAGTATTATTCATCTGGATACTAGTTTAAATTCACTAAGCACAAAAATAAAAATATTTAAAAACACCCAAAGTTCAATAAGTACTGTTATGGTCAATGTGTTGTTTTACAAGGTTGGTTGTTATTGTTTCTCCCCAGGGAGCATTTCTACATTCCTGTACTGTGGGGGTTTTTTTGTTGTTGTTTTTATGTTTTGGCACTCAACTTATAGGAAATTGCAGATCAGGGATATAGTAATTTGCCCAATTTTTAACAGCTAGTAAATTCTACCTGTTCAGTACTGAGTTTAAAATACAAGGTATTTATGAGTGGTTGGTAAAAGTGTTCTTGAATGAATACACAAAATAGTACACTTTATGTTTTAATATTTTGGAACAATAAGGGCAGTGCAATAACTGTATTTTTCGTTTTGAATCAGATATATAGTAAACATAGGATTAATTAATAGTGTTTGGCACTGTTCTAAATCTTTTACATAGAGGACCCTCATAGGAAAATCAACAGTGTGACATTGAGCTAGTAATTTAGCCACTCTAAGATTAATTTCTTCATTTGAAAAATGAGTGAAGTTCATCTATCTTACTGAATGGTATTATTGAATGAAATAATGATTGTAAACCACCTAAAACCTAGTGCATACTTAATTAATGTTACATTACCATGTTTTAGATGGAATATATTATGGGATGCTGGAGAGTATTACTTCCAGTTAAAATTTTGCTCACCTGGATTCATAATCATCAAGTTATATATTAGTTCTATTATTGAACAACACTACATGTTCTAAGTTCATTAGTTAACTGAGAAAACTGAAACAGTTGCCTAGTTATGTGTTCTGTTACTAAACAGAACAGATCTGTGTGTAAGAGGGAAATTATGATATTTATTTTATCCACAGTTCATTAGAATCATGCATGTTTTCATCTTTTTATATCTTCTGTAAGAATGATCTCTTTTGAACCTAATTATCTTAAACAGTTATTTGAGTCACATTTCAGCTACATGCTTATTAACAATAACAACTTAAACCAATATTCCTGATATTTAATTCTATTATAAAATAATTTAAATAGCACAATATAATTAGATATAATGCAATATATTTCTACATTATCTTATGTTGTTAGAAATGAAGATGCCTCATGATACATCAACTGATTTTCCTTGCATAAAGATTTCTAATCCAGTCATATGTATCTAAAACTTGCCTATTTGTTCCCTTTGTCTTTTAGTAAGGTAATTGGTAATTTTTTACCAAAAAAAAAAAAAAGCAACTTAACTATGTAACCAGCAGGTGGCAATAATGACCTGTGAATCAGAATTTTTAAACATTTTAGGTAGTTTTAAATGAATGAATTAAATTTTTTTAAAAAAGAACAAAATCACTGTTATTATAATGAATCAGTTTACTAAATATGAAATGTAGGGAAATGCCAAATGTAACCCCACATAATAACAATTATATAGCATATTTCCTGTATGAAAATCATTAAGATAGTCATCATGATCAATAGTTTTCCGAATAATAATGACTATGTTTTAGTTGGTTCAGAAAAATTGTCCATAAAATTTCAGTGTTTTAACTTTGCACAAATACACAGATACATATTTAAATTAAGCTAAGCTACATCAATATCTACCTTGATTATATGGACTAATTTAGATAGAAGGAATTAAATGAACACCATTTTGAAAATGTTATAAACTTTGCACTTTTAATTTGATCGTTTAAAATCCTGCTTTCACTTTGATTGATATTATTCTGCATGAAAGATGAGTTTTGTGCTACTTTGAAATGTCTTATACATTAATATGCTTTTTATGGTGCAATGAGTTGGAAATGGAATCAATATATTTATCTTTAGTCTATCAAAATTAGTTGTCTTCCAAAATGCTGGCAAAATTCTTAGGATCACACAATTATGTGAACTACACTTAAGCTACATTTCAAATCTTTTAGATAACTTTACTTTATAGTTTTACTCACTTTAATTATACTTCCTTAAAACCTTTTCTATACATTCAAAGATTTAAAAAAAATTATTTGTTTAATTATATATCTCTATTTTGGTCTCCTAAAACTAGGGTATATGCTTCTAAAAGGCTATTTGTTTTTCACATAATTTCAAATCTGTCTGTTTTTATATATTAAAAGAGCCTTTCAAATTATTCTTCAGCAAGTTGCCTCTGCTGAAAATGAGTATCTTATATATTGTGTATTTTATAAAACACCTGCTTATTTAATCTATAATCATTACAAATCTAGGGTTGATTAATTTTTAAAACAGTAAAAATTTTACTTTAAAAGCTAATATTGAATTACCTTATAGAGCTTTTAAAAATTCTAGTTAGATAAAGGTGCTGCTTTAAAGGGGAAAATGGAAAGTTGTCATACAGTGAAGCATACAGCAAGTTTAAAGGTAAATGCATCTTTTTAAAATTTTAATTTGTTATATATAACAACAGAATGCATTACAATTCATTTTACACATGTAGAGCACAGTTTTTCACATCTCTGGTTGTACACAAAGTAGAGGCATATCCTTAGTTCTTCATACATGTACTTAATGATGACCATTGCATTCCACCATCTTTCCTACCCCTATGTTCCCTTCCTTTCCCTCTTTACCCTTTCAATTTTCCCTATCTAGAGTTCATTTAATCCTTTCATACCCACTCCCTGTAGTATATTATGAATCAGCATCCTTGAATCAGAGAACTGATTCGGAATTTGGTTTGGGGGGATTGGCTAATTTCACTTAGCATTATATTTTACAGCTCCATCCATTTACCTGCATGCCATGATATTATTCCCTCTAATGCTGAATAATATTCTATTGGGTATATATACCATGTTTTCTTTATCCATTCATCTACTGAAGGGCATCTAGGTTGGTCCCATAATTTAGCTATTGTGAATTGTGCTGCTATAAACATTGATATGACTGTGTCCCTGTAGTATGCTGTTTTTAAGTCCTTTGGACTTATAAACTGAGGAGTGGGATAACTGGGTCAAATGGTGGTTCCCAATTTTGGTGGTTCCCAAATGGTGGTTCCCAATTCCCAATTTTCCACGGAATCTCCGTTATTGGAAATTTCCTTATTGGCTGGACCAAATTTGCAGGCCCATCAGTAATGTATGAGCGTGCCTTTTTCCCCACATCCTCGCCAACAGTTATTGTTGTTTGTATTCTTAATTGCTGCCATTCTGACTGGAGTGAGATGAAATCTTAAGAGTAGTTTTGAGGCATTACCCCGTGTACCGCGTCACTGTGCAGGAGAATGACGAGTTAGAAAGGCTAAAAGCTATCTTGTTAGGAATTTCCAGCAAAATTGGGGTGCTCCAAAATCTAGAGGAAGGATTTCCATCGCACGAGGATCAGCTACGGGGGCTCAAACGCGAGAGATTTGTCCGCACGGAGGGTCACGCTGCTTATTCAGCAAATCGCCCCGTGGCTAGAGTCTGCGGCGCGCGCTGGGAAACGAGGAGATAGCAACGCAAAGATACAGCACTGCAGTTTCCGCGGGCTTCTGCCAGCTGTGCAATCACCGTACTAAGTGCTGAATTCTGGGTTTGAGACGGGGAAGGAAGCGGTCCAATTCGGTTCTCCACACCGGTCAGACCACAGAGGAAGCCAGCGGCCACCATCTTGGAGAGCTGACGTCACCATCCCTGTTTTCGACTGATCGCAGCTCATTCAGCCATAGAACAGGTAATTTCAGGCTGCCATTCGCCTGCGGCTCACAGACAAATTACTCAGGTTCAGTGCTAATTAACCCGCGGAAACTGCTTCTTGGAGCCTGCTCCTATCAGAACATACACCAAGCACGGAGCGGCCAAATTCCGGCTCCCGGAACTGGTCTGGCCCAGGGCTAATGAATCCGCGGAAACTACTTCTCGGTCTGGGTCCTGCTGAATACTGTGGAGGTAAATACCAACCGAGCCTTCATAGGCAGTGGCAACAGGACTGAGACAGGGCTTGTGAGGGCCGGTAAGGACTCACCTGTTGCTTTGGTCACCTGGCAAAGGGAACGAAATGCTACCATTCGCATGGGATACCAACATGGCAGAGATCTGATGTCATCAGAAAGCGGCAGAGAAGAGA